GCCCGTGCGTTCCCGGCGGGTGCTCCTCTCCGGCATGAGGTGACCGTAAGGGAGCTTCTCTGACGTCATTCTCCGCCGTAACGATAGTTAGTTAAGGTAAATAAGGCCTTGTGTGGTTCAAGACGGAAACAAAATCGTCCCAACCGACAGTTTGGACGGTTCTGATCCCAATGAGTAAACAAACCAAGTGCGCATGTATAAATTATACTAAGTCAATTAACTAGGATAACTACTCTCCGACTATTGTACTTGTAGATGACCCGGCCGGTCCCTTGCAACATCCCCAGGCAAGACTGAATATCAATGAGGCAATTCGGAACTTAACATTTGAACTATATATTTAAAAGCGTAGAATATTTTGCCACGGCGTCTCAATGTGTAGACCACAGAACCTTCAAATTCTGTAGAAGAAATTTTGAGGGGATTAGATTTGCGATGTAAGCATTACTGTTTTTCCCAGTCGCATGTTAATTATCTATAATCCGTTCTGAAGACATATCTTGTACCATGTACCAACTTTAGTTTTTCTGTTACTTCGTGCTATATTATATCAACTTTCAGTTCGTATCTATAGATCAGTATGATATATTGTTTACTAAGTTGCTTAAGTTTGCACCCCATTACAGCCAGTGACCATGTTACTCATCATTAGTACCAGTAGTCTAAACCTGTGGGTCTGACGTCTGCCACTGCAGTTGTTCTCAATACTAACAGATGGTGTGCATGTACTTCGCCATTCCCCCTTTTAGAAATATGGGGGAAACTCAAACACTCGTGAGGCCCAGAGTTCATTGGGACGTATCAATTTTTCTTAAGACGGCTTGCTGTGCACAAACAAGTGGCACCTAACCTTTATCTAATATATGATACCAAAGGAAACAAGGAATCTGAGATTTTAAACCTCCGGGTAGTAGTTAACGCATGATGATCATATGAACGACTGTCTAAAATTTTGGATATCACATATGCATTAACATCAATGTAACGCTACAAGGAAAAGCTGGGCGATGTCACTCATAATCCACAATACAGGACAACACACACACACACACACAAAGTTTTTTTCACCGTACTTTCTTGTTCATTTTTTTTTCTCCAATTTATGTGTTGACTACAAGCGCTACCCTCAAAGTTATGAAATTCTATTGAAGCTTGGCCGATTTGATACTGCCTTCTCATCGTAGTATCTGCTTCTACCGCAAAGAATAGTGATGAGGTCACTACCTTTTACACATAAGAATCAGTAAAATGTAAGACAAAGTTGTCAAAAATCATCTACCAGAGTTTTAGACCATCAAAAACACACATTAGTAGGATACTCTCTTACGTTAAGTGTCCAAACATAGTATCTGGAACAACAGGTATACATGGAGGCTAAGTGATGATTACAGAGTTCACTTGGTGCAGACGACACAGGTGAGTTCCCTCCCTTCCACGTAGTTGGGACACGGCAGGGACCCACAGCGGGCTTCCACGGGGAAGAACAGCGCTCCCCACTGGTTCGCCTGTCCGCCCTGCATCACCTCTGGCTGTTCATCCACACAGACGAACTCTTTAGACCCGGCGTGGTTGTGGCGTTCGGCCATGAGGTAGCCATGGTACTCGCGGGTCCAGCCGCTATAACAGGTGTCACGGGCGGGGATCATTAACTTACTGCCGCGGGTTGGGACGTAGCAGACCGCACACGGGACGTTGTTTTGGTGAAGGGAGGTGGAGCCGAACGGGACGTTTGTGACCAACTTGTACTCAGCGCCGTACATGTAAGCCTTGTACCCCTGGACTCCATCTTGGTACTGTCCCCACTGTGGGTCGGTCGGCAGACACTGGTAGTTGGTCCCGCCGCCGGGCTCAGTGTAATGTGTACCTCCAGCCACACCTGAATGGAAACGCACTGATCAAACAATCATCACCCTTGTCTGTATACAAAAAAATACAGCACAGTATTATCGAAAGAAAATAATCGAGCCTACATTTTGTACATATATTTTCGTAGATAACCATCATAATGAATGGGGCTGTCCTCTCTGGTCGCGTCTGTAAATATGTATACATATATGAAGTATATAACGTTGTACTTGAAGCTATTTATTACAATTCCATAATGATAATTTTGCTCCCTTAATGCTGTGATGATATTTGTACATATCATATCAACCCAATTCAGACAGTATTGCTATTATATGGTATGATAAAGCACCTAAAGCGGGAGGATCTAAGATAAGGTCAAAGGTATAATAGAAGTAGCCTGAATTTTTGGGTTGATATGTACAAAAATAATATCATCACAGCATTAAGAAAGGAAAAATTATCATTACAGAATTGTTCTGTACAATGAATACACATTGAGACAAACGGAAAATTTAGAAATAAAAATTTCTGCACAGCCGGCATTCTTTTACACCTATTATTGCCTCTTGGTTTGGTTGAGTGGAACTTGATAGCCGGGTGCTAGCCATAATAATAGCCTGAATTGGGTTGATAAGTACAAATATCATCAGAGCATACACATTAAGGGAGGAAAAATTATTATCATGGATTTACAATGTAGTTTAAAATCCCCTCATAGTTTAAAATCAACGAAAACACATTGAGAAATATAGAACATTTTAGAAATTAAAATTTCTGCACAGCCGATATTCTATTGTCTCTGGGTTCGGGAACATTAAAGCCGGGTGCTAGTCGTAGTTAGTATGGTTGGAGGCACTGTTGATATGGATGGTACCGGTTGGTGCACATTCTAATCAAAATGCAGTTTTCCTGGAATAGCTATAGAGCATGCAATCTTGGGCTCCATGGTATACTCTATGTACAAATGTGTCTAAGAAGACCTTACCAGAGTAGACAATTGTTGCTCCAGAGGGACAAGTCTTCCTTCCCCAGCGAGTGTAAACAGCGCCTCCTGTTAAGCATAACAATTAGGTAAGTGATAATGAAGTTCTCTACCATTTTATTGCCAGAATCAAATAAAAATCATATTGACAGAGAAGAATACCAGATCTATCGATAATTTATAGAACTGTGGTACGTATACTGTAACTATAACATCCTTGAACAGATCTAAGCGCACAATATACTAGTACTCACCTAATCCGTTTGTCCCTTGTTCGCCTTTCTGACCTTTGGCCCCTTGACCTTTCAGTCCAATGTCTCCTTTCTGTCCAGGCTCACCCTGTAAAAATCAGATCAAATATGTGACCACAAATGAAGTTAAAAAATCATTGATTTCATTTAGGACAATTAAATTCATTTATTATGTTTTATAAATTACTCATATATCATTTCATTTTTCGATAGAGAAGGATGCCTACTATACTTACTACTACTATTTCTATAAAGAAGAAATATCAAGAAAGTCGTTTGTCTTTTTTTTCTTATAGTCAAACAGAACACACCAGTAATCTAAAAACATTACAAAAGTCAAGTTTGATTCAAACGACAAACTAATGTTAAGCTTGCGATGGAAACATATGAGTGATGACTCCGGGACGTTTCAGCGCACCTTCAGCCCGGGTGCTCCCGCCATTCCGTCCCGTCCGTCCCGACCGTCCCGTCCCGGCTGGTTCTCACAACAACCTGTCAAGGAGCGGGGTGAGAATGGGGTCTAATTTAATCTTATCTCGTAGTAGATCTAGAAGAAACACGGTTAGACAACATATTCTATATTTTGACAAATATAAACTTAAAATCTGTACATTGTGGGTCGTGTGGAGCAACGGCAGCGTGCGCGACTCGGAATCAAGAGGTCCCTGGTTCGAGTCCTTGGGAAAGGCACTTTACACGACTTTCCCCACTAGACTCAAGTGAAAATGAGTATTGTCTGTCCAGTATTCGTTTCTATGTGCGGGACACAACACCAGCAACAGCTGCCTCTGTTTCGCGTGTATTGCATTGTTGCAATTTCAATAAAATCAAAATCAAATTATTAGTTCGTGTGTAGAAACCCAGACACATTCTTTAGGTTAGAGAGAACAGAGTAGATCTTTTGGTGGCGAAATGATAACAGTCTGGCAAATGGCCAATTTCATTCTGTCTTTGCTCAGCCACCAAAGTAAAGATCTGCTTGGAGATGAAACAGAGTATGCCTGAAAATAAATGTACTGTACCTGACCCAGACGGGAGTCGGACCCAGTTGGGTGAATCTCTCTTGGAGCGCCTGTGCGCAAGTCCTCCCACCGTGGCGTTGTTGTTCTGTCCCCCGGTGTCAGCCTCGCCGACGTGCCCAGACTGTCCTCCCTCAGGGCTCTGCACAGAACCGGTCCAGCAGGAAGGAATACCACAAGTCAGTACGTCATGTTTACCGCTGTACATAGTACTAGCTGAGGTTTAGTGGACAAAATATTGGAAAACAAAACGAATTCGCGAAAACGCAAGCTACATTGGCAAAAAAAGGGATTGTAGAATCTTTGAACGTGGTAGTAGAATTTATGGGAATGACAAGAACTGTGGTAGCTATATATAGGAATACTGTCAGTATAAAAGATACGAAGTTCGTGTCGTAACTATAAAGTATATACTAGTATGCCTATATCACTATATCTCAGTGCGCTAAATGTGACTACTTACATGGGACATTTGTTGTTGTTCATGTTCGGCGTAGTTTGGTGGGAAAGTCGCGCCTCGGACCTGTGTTTCCAGCACGACGATCCTCTCCCTCAGAGACAGGACCTCCTCTTGGTCTTTCTCGGCCCGAGCTTGGAGTTTCGCCATGTCGTCGTGGTCTCTCTGAGCCTGGGCTTGGAGCTTGATTATCTCTGCGTCGCTTGTCTCGGCCTTTGTCGTGAGGGTGACCACCTTTTCTTGCAGCTTAGCCATCTCGTCGTGGTCTTTCTGCCCCTGGGCTTGTAGTTTACCAATCTCGTCGTGGTCTTTCTGTGCCTGGGCTTGGAGCTTGATTATCTCTGCGTCGCTTTTCTCGGCCTTTTCTTGCAGTTTAGCCATCTCGACGTGGTCCCTCTCCACCTTGGCCCGGAGATTCCCCATCTCATGACCGATGTTCTGCACGATCACGGCCAGCACCACGGCGGAAACAAACACCGCGGCGGCGCCGAGAACACCGACGAGCGATCCGAGCGGGCCGCCCGTGCGTTCCCGGCGGGTGCTTCTCTCCGGCATGAGGTGACCGTAAAGGAGCTTCTCCGACGCCATTCTCCACCGTAACGATAGTTAGTAAAGGTAAATAAGGCCTTGTGTGGTTCAAGACGGAAACAAAATCGTCCCAACCGACAGTTTGGACGGCTCTGATCCCAATGAGTAAACAGACCAAGCACGTATGTACCAAGTCAACTTAAGTCAATTAACTCGGGTAACTACTCTCCGACTATTGTTGTAAATGACCTGGCCGGTCACTTGCAACATCCCCAGGCAAGACTGAATATCAATGAGGCAATTTGGAACTTAATATTTGAACTATGATTTTAAAAAAATGTATGGCATTTGTGCAACGGCGACTAAAATGTGCACACCCACAGAAGCTTCAAATTCTGTCCAAGAATTTTTTTTTGGGGGGGAGGGGTAGATTTGCGCTGTAAGCATCGCTTTTCCCGGACGCATGTTGATTGTTTATGTATCTAAAGAGACATCTTGTACCAGTTGTAGTTCGAATGTTATTTTGTGCTATATATCATACCAACGTTTTAGTTCA